CACCCTGCATATCAGATATTTACATTACTATTCATAACAGTAGCAAAATTACAGTTATGAAGTAGCAACGAAAATTTTATGGTTGGGGGTCACCACAACATGAGGAACTGTATTAAAGGGTCGCGGCATTAGGAAGGTTGAGAACCACTGTTCTAGAGCTTGTGGCTTAATGTTATTTTAATCAACATTAAACCTCATGTTTGTTTCCAGTACAGGAAATCATGTTTCACAGTAATGGATTGAACTTTCAAAGCCACTAATGATAACATTTACGTTTGTTTCACATTCCAAGGTTTAGAAAGCCATGATCTCTAAAGCTGGAGTATATACTTCTAATCTAGAACAATATAACACTTTCATTTTTATTTTGTATCTGTTTCTACTATAGAAAGATCTTCATTTAATAATTATTTAATAATTCTGTATTTAATAATTATATATTTAGATGTTTGATTTATCTGCAAATATAGCTTCCTAATACAATATGGGAACTTTTGTTAATAGAATTCTGCTAAAACATATTGAATTAATAATTATCTACTTTGGACAGCAGCAGAAATAGTATACCTAAAACATGAAATATAGTTCAATTAATTTAGAAGAAAAGGTACTAAAATAAATTGCTTTATATACAATATCCCATAATATATTCCCTATGTCACGTTGACTACATAAATACTATATGGAAAAAGTATTTAATTTTACAGAATAAATTCTAAAACTTGAATATCAATAGTATACTCTATAATTTTTATATATATATATATATCTTTCAGGAACAACTATACCCTTTTATCAAGGCATTAATTGTAAACAATAAGATTGCAAATTGTGTTTTCTCACTCCATGTTTTTGAATCATTGGCACTGATTCCCCAAATTGGTTTCAGGGGAACATTCTTGAATTTTCTTTTTAATCAGCTAATTTTGTTCAATTAGCTACATTGTAGTTTTCAAAACATCCCAAACACACAAACCATTCCTCGTTTTGAGGCCCTTGGTTATTTTGATTCTGTTATGTTTGATCTTTTATGTATTAATTTGCACTGAAGATAGTTAAGAATTGCTTCCAAATAAACCTGCATTAAGACTGCACTACTAAGAGGCATAGCTGGTATTCCACTTGTCTCTCTCGCATATTCATTCTAATTCAGAGGCTGTTCCTTGAAAATTACACCGCTTAATCATACTTAATTCTTTTATAAGGGTCATTGAGTACCTTATCTACCCTTCCCCTCAAACTGCATCCTTAGAAGTCATTCTGGAGTAATCTATGTATCATAAGAAACAGTAGGTAGTAATAACGGTTAGAGCAGGATGATGCTTAATAAAGCTGACATCCTTATGTGCCCATAATTTTGTTTGTTGTTTGCTACAGCACCAAACTGACATTGGTTGATCTTTTAAAAAAGTAACATAGTTTGGATCTGTTTGGTATTAAGATGGAAGACAGCTGAAATATTCCAGAGCTGTATACTGGGAAGGAAAAGCAAACTTATTTTCGTATAGGTGCTAAGAGGGGGACCTATATGTCCATGTAGTCACAAGGAGTCAAACTTGACTTGAAAGACTAAAAATCCTTCTGAGACTGCATTTTTTCTTGCTGTGCCACAATGATTAAGCAAGTATTTTAAGGAATAATGTTCCAATTGTTATAAAATTGAACCCAGTATTTTCCATAGTGATGTTTTTTTCAGATATTTTGTGCTATATAGTATTTAGTAAATATAGTATTCCACATTGTTCTTTAAAATTGAAATCAAAAAGATATTTTTTAAAACTTGATTCCACAGGATTTAAAAATCCAATGTATTGTGGTAACTTTTAAACTAGAAAGAGCCAAAAATGGGAGGAAGGGACAAAATAATTATCCAAAAATCAATTACTAAGTTTATTCCTTCCTATAGATTCATTGAAGTACAGTGCAATATGATTTTGTACTTGGAAAAGAAGCACTTGGACAAAAGACAGAAGCATTTTTATTTTCAAAGCATTTCACAGTTGGCATCCAGAAGAACAAAGTAAGCAGAATGAAAAAGCAACAGAAATGGGTGGATGTGTAAATAAGGGAACTTTGCTGTTGGTACTCCTCAGATAAGAGAGTGAATAGCATCTAACTGAATGAAATAATAAAATGTACAGATATGGTTGGCTAGATCTTATATTCCTTTCTGTCACAATACTTTTATACAATGATGTACAATTTATTTTTATGCTGCCTTTTAGTTCCTTCAGCAGTTAATTCAGTTTACAAAAACAACAGTTACAATTAAAAATCAATAAACACTGGTAGGTGATTAAAAACTCACATTTACTACACACTTCCAAGCAAAAATTTTAGACATTTTGATCCCAATGCTCAAAAAATAACCCAAGTTTTAAGTGCCTTTCTAAAAAGCCAAAAGGTTTGGGGCCAACCCTTCATTGAGGGGAGGGAGATCATTTCAAAAGTACATCTCCTAGATCTCTTCAGATTATTTTGTTTCCTTGTAGGGCACGTGGGCAGGCAGATACCATTGAAGAAAGGCAATTCTATTAATAGCCTATCCATGTTAGATCTTTACAGGTGATAACATTCTGAATTGTATCTGGAAGCTTGTAAGAAGCCAGTACAATTGGCTAGTGGACTTTACATGGGTGTACTGAAGTATGCTAAAACTAGCCATGCCACTGCATGGACCATTTGAGGCTTCAATGTGGTGTTCAAGGATAACCTCACATAAAGTATATTTCAGTAGTCTAACTAAGGTATTAAGACATGAGTGATAGCAAGCTGGGACTCCTGGTCTAAGAATGGACATAATTGGTCAAGATGAAATTGGGCAAAGACCACCACTGATTGCAAGTGCCACCTGCTCTTTGAAAAGAAGCAGTAAATCCAGGAGAAGACCTCAAATTGCACGCTGGATTTGAGCAGGGTAATGTAACACCATTCATATCCAAAAATGAATAATTATCAATCACTGTGTCTTGGATGCTTAAACTCGCAGCCACTCAGTTTTGGTTGGGTTGAATCAAAGTCTGTTCCCATTTTGACATTGGTAAGGAACCTTTATAGTTTCACTTGATCAGCCAAGGGTGGATATTTTCAATTGAGTATCATCAGCATATTGATAATGTTGCAACTATGACAACAAATTTATACTCAATTAGCTTCCAACTGACTCTGATAATACATGTGAAATTTTTGCCTACTATGGGTGATGTCCACTGATAATCCCAATTGAAAACAACCATGCTTTATTTTTGTTAAAAGTTCTTTCAGACTTATTCATCAGTACAAAAAACATCAATTTATGCCTCAAAGGCAAACAAATGTCTTCATACATTATAGTTTCATTTGAAATCTATAAATGAATAGATTTGGCTTACTACTTATGAGAATGACAGAATGTCCTGTAATTATTTGTTGCCTTATCATTCCTGATAAGAAGTCAGGTTATAAGGCACCACTATATTATCATGCTGCTTTTAAATCCATTAACATATAATACACTCTATGTCAAGAACAATTTCTATACAACCATTTTTCTTTTGCAATTATGTAGTCCAAAATCTGTCCCTTCTAATTGTGGAGATAGGAATGTAGAGAAGATTTTGGATCAAAAATACACTTTCAAATCAGCTATAAAGTACTTAAAGAAAGATAGATAAAAAATTTAAAGTGGTCTTTACAGTATATACAAGGAAACCTATGAATATTTCTGAGCTACCAGAATTTAGCAAGGAAAGAAAGAATAGAATAAAGGGACTTTATTTATTGTTGTTAATGTTTATTGTCTGATAAACATGTTCACTTTTTTCTTAAGTAACTCTATACAAATATCTGCCATTTATATTTGCAAATATATTTGTTTACCTTTGTATTGTGCACAACTTGTATCAGTTTCATTGAATCATACAACTGGATCAGGAGTACCTAAACTTTTGCATGCCTATATTGGTTATGCCTATATTGTTTTAAAATGATTAGCATGTTGGAATTTAACCAGGTTATCTTAAACTAGATAAATCTAGATGTTGATTAATCCATTAATATTTGTTAAAACTATTTTAAAGTAAAAGACCAAAGAGACAAGATGCTGTTTTAAATCCAGTGACCTTTTTTAAAATACCTGATTGCAAAGTCTCAGCAATGTAAAAACTTTTTCATACAATATAAGAACTGCAACAACCACTATATAGGACAAACAGGCAGAAGACTGGCAGAATGCATCCATGAACACCAACTGGTAGTCACAAGGCATGACAAAAATTCTTTAATTTCACAACATATAGACAGATTTAACCATAGTTTCAATTGGGAAAATGACAATGCTAAACCAGGCCAAATCCAAAAATGCCAGAAAATTTCTAGAAGCCTCTTTGACAAATCATCCATCAATAGACACATAGACATTAACAACATCTATAGACTATGTAAAAGAGACAATCAACCAGCCCAAAAGAAAAAGACTCCAGCACCCTTCCACCAGTAATCAGCACTCAGATCAGCGTAGATTAACTCCAAGGTCCACGTTAGACCAACAATCAAGTTAAGCAATACCCCAGTCAAGAAACTGCCAAAGAACCATTAGTAAACAGCCAAACCAAAGAATCCCTAAGACCGCCCTCACCCACAGGCAAGACACCAGAATATAAACTGACAGCAAACAGCACTCCTTACTAGCACTGATGATGTTACTAAGTTAGTGTAAGGATCTGCCTCAGTTAAACCTCCTAAGAAAGCAGAACTCTTGAAACTTGCATTGTCTCAACAGAAACTTTTATTTGAAGGTATTGACAGCAGGATAGTAAGGCAGGATCTGAGGATTTCCCGTGCGAAACGTTATATTAAAAGAACCCTTTCAAACCCCACCCCAACTGTACATCCGATGGCTCATTCAAATCGAGCCAATCCATAGGTGTCAAATTGTTGTGAGAAAGAACCGATAAGGTGTCATTCTCAAGGCTGTCAGGTTTCTCCACAGCTTCTTCCCTCCACTTGGAGATAAGGCAGATGGCTGGAGGTAGATTCCATTCCCACTCCAAGAAAGATACTTCAAAGAGAATAGAACAAAGCAAAGGAAGTACACTGCAGAATACCCATAGGTCCCCCTCCCCTGATTAGAATGGCAGAACCTGAAAAATGAAAGCATAGGAAAGAAAGGCAAAATGCACAGGGGTTCTGGCATGCTGCCCCCCCTTTAAAAAATGAGAGATCCACCTGGAGAAAGACAAAATAATAGGGAGAGAAAGTGAAACTCAGTGGTTAGTCAGGTTTATCGGGATAGCTGGCATGAAACCATTTAAGCAACCTAGGGGTTCTCACATGCTTTTTATGTACCCACTCATTTTGGGAGGCCGGGAGGTCCTTCCATGCTACCAGGTATTGAGTAGACCCATGGTATTTTCTGGAGTCTAAAATTGCTTTAATTTCAAAGTGTTGTTCCCTTTCCACCATAATAGGTTGTGGTGGGGGAGATACAGCTGGCCTTAAGGGCGAGCTCATTTCCGGCTTTAGTAGACCACAGTGAAACACTGGATGAACCTGTCTTAATGTTTTGGGGAGTTCAAACTCTACTGTGACTGGGTTAATGATGCGTTTGATTGGGAATGGTCCCACAAACTTTGGTCCTAACTTCTTTGAAGGTTGTAGAGACTGCAGAAACCTGGTAGATATACCCTGTCCCCCACCCTAAAAGGCTTTGGCTCCATCCATTTTTTGTCTGCCTGCACTTTATAAGCTCTAGCCTTGTCTAGGGCTTTTCTGACCACTGGCCATGTATTTTGCAATTGCGTAATCTGTTCCTTCAGGGAAGGGATGGTGGGTTCATTGACTGGCAATTCAGGCATTGGGTTGAAGCTCTGTCCTGTAGCCACCTGGAATGGTGTGTAGCCAGTACTGGAATGCACTGCATTGTTATAGGCTACTTCAGTGAAAGGTAGCAGGTCAGTCCAATTGTCTTGTTGATGATTTATAAAGCATCTCAGGTATTGTTTTAGTACTGTCCCCCCATTCATTTGCGGATGATGACTAGATGACAAGCCCTGATCTGTACCCAGTAGGTCCAAAAAGGTTCTCCAAAACTTTGAGGTGAACTGGACCCCCCTATCTGATATTATGCATTGTGGGGCTCCATGTAGCCAATAGATGTGTTGCACAAACTGTCATGGTTCCGACAGATGAAACTCTTCAAAGAACTTTGAGGCATTGTTTACCTTAAAGAATCTTTATTCCAGCAGCATAGCTTCGGCACGTACATAGTCGAAGCCAAAATCTGACTTCCCTCCCCTTCAGCACATAGATTAAAGCACAATTCCCTCCTACAACTAACTGTCATAAATCACATTCTCCAATTAATTTGAAATGCTGGCTTTCCGCCCAGTTTTTTATCCCGCCATGCCTTATCGTCTCTTATTACAATAGTGTATGTCTAACTAACTCCCATCACATTCCTCCCCCTCCCCCCAATAACATCTAATTCTAAGAATAAAGCATAATAAAGAAAAAGGCTGCATCTCCATATGTTGTCAACGAAGAACATCCAATGTTAGCAGCGTTGATACAAAAATTTTAGCCAAGGCTTTAGCAATTGGGATTTTTTGGCAAGGTATGAAATGGACTTATTTGGAGAATAAATCTGTCACTACCCAAATGACAGTGTTTCCAGCACTCTCCGGTAGTTCTATGATAAAATCCATAGAAATTTCTCTCCAGGGTGCTGAAGGGCTTGCCACCACCTGTAAAAGGCCAGGTGTTTTTCCTTGTCTCCGTTTCACTGCTGCGCAAATGGGGCAACTGGCTACATAGCTTTCAATGTCCTTCTTTAGGGATGGCCACCATAGTTGTCTCTTTACCAGGTGGAGGGTTTTTACAAACCCAAAATGTCCTGCTAGCTTTGAATTATGGCAGAGTTGCATGAACTTTAATCTTTGGGTTGTAGGGATGTATAATTTCCCCCCCACCCACGGCAGTCCATTTTGCATTGAACAGAGATTTTTGTGGGTAAGGAACCACTCATCCTTCTCCAGAGCTTGTCTGAATTTGGTGCCTGCTGTGCTGTCCAGGGGGGGGGGCAGGTTCTTTGCTTGCACCTCGTGGTGATGCGCAACTAGTTGTTTCATGGACAGCAATGGTTTGACCACTTCAGCTTTCTTGCTGTTTTATTGTGGCATTTGTGACAGTGAGTCTGCCAAGAAGATTCC